CGAATAAGCTCGAGGCCTTGAGAAACGCTAACTGGCAGGTGATCTGGTACTAGTGCCAGATCCCTAGAAGACCTCTCGCCAGCTCGCTTCTCTTATGGTAGTTCACTTCTTTGAGGGCGAAGGAACGCTTGTGCTGCAGCGCTAATAATAATACGGACCTACTCACAGACTACTTCAGTAGCAATGTATTACATGGCCATCAATTTTGCGACTATTCAAACAAGACTGATAAACGTGTCAGCCAGTGAACCACATTCGCTGATCAAAGACCCAACTTCAGTCACGCAATTTAGTTGCCCTTCCTGCATTCGATGCACCTGTGAAGCTTCTGCATTTAAAGTTACTCGATGAAATATTATCAGCCATTGACTCTGCAAGATCACAAAAATAATCAATTCTAACAAATTGCATCCTGAACCATTAGAAAACGATCACTTTCTCTTATAATGCAATGTTTACCAAGATCAGTTTGTTTTCAGCAAAAATGTGAACATGAGACTGAGATTTTGACTGGCCAACTTTCTTAGCCCAGTTTAGACGCTATGTTTCTCTCGACCTGATTTCCCTAAGGTAATTGATTAACAAATGTTTGTCCAATTCATTTGCAAGGTCGTTCTTTGGGAACGATGCCAGTCGCTGAGTCACTGAGCAAATTATGAATAACAAATTTAGTGAAGCACGGTGGGTAAACAATAGTGACACTTTATTGTAATGAGTATATGAGTGTTATGTCTAAAATAGAATGCTGACACGCGAAAAATCTTGTTGGAAGGCTCGAATAACAAAGGTTGTTCACAGACATTCTATAAACTTGGTTCAGTGTTGAAAAATCATTCCTTCAGTGGATCGGTTATAGCAATCACCTGCACTTGCAGCAAGTTTTCGGACGTAGATTCATGATGAAATATCTCTGTGAAGTTCTTCTCTTCTGTTTTTTCCTGACGGCACTTTCGAACGCGACAAAACTGTCGTCTAAACCGGCAAGAACCGATAACGATACGAAACATCGTCCACATTGTAGTATCAATAACAACTATTTCTACGCTGGTCAGAACTCCAGGAAAATAGAAAATATGTTTTCTGACATTCAACAACAACTGACCAAACTTGAACAAGAAATCCGAAACATGAAGAACCAAACTTGTGAGAAGCAAGATGGGAAAGGTTGGTGAGAAAATAACTTTTAGATTGAACGAAGACGATTCAGTTGACTTGATGCTCATTCAGTTTCACTTTCTCTCTTTTTTAAAGCTGTTTATAAGAACTGTGCCGAAGTTTATAGGTCAGGCGACAAGATCAGTGGTGTATACAAAATCGATCCTGATGGTTTGGGAGAATTTGAAGTCTTCTGTGATCAGACAACAGCCGGTGGAGGATGGACGGTGTTTCAAAAGAGATATAACGGTGCAGTAGATTTTTTCCGCGCTTGGGATGACTACAAACGGGGCTTCGGCAATCTGAACGGCGAGTTTTGGCTCGGACTGGACAAAATGCACCGCCTGACTGCGAGCAGCCGCAACAAGCTTCGTGTTGACTTGGAAGATATCCACGGTAACACAGCGTTTGCAGAGTACGGTTCATTTTCTGTGGCAAGCGAAAGGGTGAAATACCTGCTGAGTT